TTCCATTCCGGAATTTCTATTTGCTGAAGTAACCCACCCGATCTTTGGTGCATATACTTCACCTGCTGACAATTGAGACACCGAGATACGAATCCAACTATATCTTTTTTCATCCGCCTCCACCAATAGTGCTGTCTCAAATCCTGATACATCTTCGCGGTACCCGGATGAATGGAGTACCGCGAGCTATTGGCCTCCTCTAGAATAAACTCTTGAAGCCCATCAATATTGGGTACACAAATCTGACCCTGCATCCTCAATACCCCATCATCACCAATAGCCACATCTCTGGCATCATCGTGCTGAACCTTGTCCTTGAGGACAACCAAATGAGGGTCATCATACTGCAACTCCCTGATACGATCAAATAAGGAAGACCGAGAAATCACGCAAGCTAGAACTCGACTATGATCCGAAAGATCCAATCTCACAAACTAGCTGGCTAAGGCCTGAACATTCATCGCCATAGGCCTCTTCGATGCTGGTAAATAAGTCAAACTCCCCAAACTCTCTGCCCGACGACTCAAAGCATCGGCCACCACATTGGCCTTGTCCGGGTGATACAAAATATTGATATCATAGTCCTTCAGCAACTCTAACAACCTCCTCTGGCGCAAGTTTAGACCCTTTTGCTTAATAGGTGCTGCAAGCTTTGATGATCGGTATAAATCTCACAAGGCACCCCGTACAAATTATGACGCCAGATCTTCAGGGCATAAACCATGCAGCTAACTCAAGGTCGTGAACAGGATAATTCTTCTTGTGAACCTTCAACTATTGGGACGTGTAGGTAATCACCCTACCGTCCTGCATCAAAACCGCTCCAAGGCCAATCATCGAGGCATCACAATAGATAGTGTAAGACCCCAAACCTGTATGTAGTATCAAAATTAGGGCTGTAGTCGAAGATGTCTTAAGCTTCTGAAAGCTCGCTTCACACTCCTCCATCCACTGAAATAGAGCACCCTTCTAGGTCAACCTGGTCATGGGGGCATCAATCGACGAAAACCCCTCCACAAAATGTCGGTAGTAACCCGCCAAACCAAGAAAACTGCAGATCTTGATAGCTGAGGATGGTCTGGGCCAACTCTGCACGGCCTCTATCTTCTTCGGATCCACCTAAATGCCCTCACTCGATACCACGTGGCATAAGAATGCCACTGAATCCAACCAAAACTCACAGTTCGAGAACTTGGCATATAACTTCTTCTCTCTCAGAGTCTGAAGCACAGTCCTTAGGTGTTGCTCATGATCTTCCTGACTTCGAGATTACACTAGAATATCATCAATAAAGACAATTACGAATGAGTCAAGATACGACAGGAACACACTGTGCATCAAATGCATAAAGGCTGTTAGGGATTTGGTCAGCCCAAATGACATAACAAGGAACTCGAAATGACCATACCGAGTCCTGAAAGCAGTCTTCGGGATATCTGGCTCCCAGATTTATAACTGATGGTAACTTGAGCGCAATTCAATCTTAGAAAATACATGTGTGCCCTGAATCTGGTCAAACAGATCATCAATACGAGGCAAAGGATAACGATTCTTCACTGTAACCTTGTTCAACTGGCGATAATCAATACACATACGCATAAAACCATCTTTTTTCTTCACAAACAAGACAAGAGCATCCCGAGGTGTTACACTGGGCTGAATAAAACCCTTATTAAGCAATTCATGTAATTGATCCTTCAACTCCTTCAACTCAGGAGGAGCCATACGATACAGACGAATAGAAATGGCTTGAGTTTTCGGCAATAGATCAATGCCAAAATCAATATCTCTATCAGGCGACATCAACTGAAGAGGTATCAATACTGACATCTCTCACATAAGCTAAATATGCGTCACACCCCTTATCAACCATACACTGAGCTTTAATAAAAGAAATAACTCTACTGGGGGTGTAATCTAAAGTACCTCTCCACTCAATACGTGGTACACCTGGCATAGCCAACATCACGGTTTTGGCGTGACAATCAAGAATAACATGATGGGGAAACAACCAGTCCATGCCCAAGATAATATCGAAGTCAACCATACTGAGTAACAATAAATCGGCGCTGGTCTCAAAACCACTAAGAGCAACCAAACACGACCGATCAACACAATCTACAACGAGAGAATCTCCTACAGGAGTAGAAACATAAATAGGGGAACTCAAAGAATCCCGAGATACACCCAAATGTGGAGCAAAATAAGAAGACACATAAGAGTAAGTAGATCTTGGATCAAATAGAACCGATGCATCTTTGTGGAAAACCAATATAATACTTGTGATGACAGAATCAAAGGCAACAACTTCGGTATGGGCAGGAAGGGCATAGTATCTGGCATGGCTTCCCCCTCTAGGGCGACCTCTACCTCCCCGACCTCCACCTCTAGCTAGCTGAGTAGGTTGGGTAGCAACTGGAGCTGTAACCATAGCTTGAGAACTCTACGGGGCACACTGTGGCTGAGAAGTCTATGGAGGTGCACCCCTCCCAAGTCTGGGGCAATCCCTCACTATATGACGTATGTCACCACACTAAGCAGCCTCGCGACTAACGTGGCAGTGGGAACTGTGTGGTACGAGTACGCAAAGACCCCTGAACACCTGAAACACTGTAAAATCTGAGATGCAAACTGAGCTGGCTGACCCACAAAAACTCTACCATGTCGTACTCTTCCTCCAAAATAAGGACCAGTGGGTCTCCCTAATCTACGAGGTCTACTCACTCCCCTACACTCTCCCTCCTAACCTCATCTGCCCTCTCTCTCATGGACCCACCCATCCTCTACTCAGCGAGGGGTCCTCACCACCCGCTAAACTGGGACCAAAGGCTGTGTCGCTATGACACCTAGGACCTGACCAACGGGAACTCGCTACTCTGGAGTGGGGGCAACAGGAGTTTGGGTCCCTCCCTCGATCTGTGAAGTAGTTGGTACAACCTAAATCAACCCCGCCTGAACTAATGTACCAAACATGCTAAGGAACTATGCTAATGTCTCCTGAAGTGCTGGACTAGTAATAGCAGTAAGCGTATGTGATGCTTGGGCTCTAACTGTAACTGCTGGTGACTCTTCGGTGACAGCTCGCGCGGGTGCTCTGGCTGCACCATGCGTGTGTCCTCGGCCTCCACTACAAGAAATTGGATTATTAGTGGCGACATATAGCAGCGACCCTATAGGTTGCGACAACAGCTATATTATTAGCAACGACTTTTATAAGTCGCTACAGATGGTTAATATTTAGCAACCTTTTTTAGGTCACCATTGATGTGGCTGGAATTTTCAGTCCCGCTAAATATAAAATTTTGGCTCCATAGTTTTAGTGGAGACTTTTGAAAAGTCGCTGCAAAATCTCTGTTACAGCGACTAGGTCGCTCCAATACCTCACATTTTTACTTTTAAAATTAAAAAAAAAGGCAAATACTTATCCCAATTAATTACGTAATACATTTCATCTATTGGGTCGCTCTTTGGTATGAACGAACCAAACATTCACCTCTCAGCCAAATTCTTCAAACATAACCCTAGCATTCTCAGCGAATCGGCCCTCCTCTTCAACGAAAATTTCAGCTAAATCAGAATCCCTCAAATCAAAATGTGAATCTCATTTGTCAGGTATGTTCAAATCCCTAATCTTTTTCATTTTT